ACGCTGGGGTCAGCCTCTCATTTTGGGTATCAGCAGGATTCGTTAATACCACTGTTAGCTGGTTTGTCTTCAGGATGCAGTTGTCTCTCTCCACAATATTGATAAAAAACCCCTATGCCTCCCAGTAACTCTCCTCCAAGTCAAAATGAGACTAATTTGTCAGTAGTGATCCCTCCCTGCAGCCATGTTGCTTCAGGTTCCAGGCTCAGCTGTGTTACTCAGTGCAAAGTCCTGAAATACTGTTCTGCATGGTTTTGTGTCAAGCTCTGCCCAGATACAAAAAAAAATCACAAGTTTCAACTCTTTCCACATAGTGGCTGTTAAGATTAGAACACATTGTTGAGAGATTTGGTTTGGTTATAGTGGAAAGGACTTAAGAAAGTGGAACCAGGCCCTGTAATCTGTAGTCCAGGGCAGTAGGTAGTGGAATCTGTTGCCCGTCTCCCTGATAGCCTAGATTATGTAGAGCCACTGGTAACCATAAATGTGCTGGCCCTGTAGAGCCTTCTGGTTTCTGAAAGACTTAGCAAGCTTTTTTTTCTTCCATAAAGATGTGGAGGCTCTGCTCGTGTTTCTTGATCCAGTGGTGGCTGCTTCTTCCCTCACAAGTGTAGCAAAAGAGGTACAGAGGTTTCCACCTGACCCAGGAACGCAGGGCAGGTCTGATCTGTGCCAGCTTTCTCCCCTCGTGCTCCCTGCAGTGTGCGGGGCTCCGTGGGGCAGAGGTGCCTTTCAGACCCATGGGAGGTTCCTCGCTTCGTCTTGGCCGCCAGACCTGTGTGCCGCTGCTCCCGCCAGGGAAGCACACACACGCTGTGCGGATGGATAGGAAGGATTGGCCGTGCGATGCAGGGAGCTTCACTGAGGACCCAGCCCTGAGGACCTCTCACAGATGCATGCAAGTACCGAGGCAGGAGCAGCAACTGTCAGTGACAACCAGGCCTCGCAAAACTGGAGTTTAGGGAGCACCTACAGCTTATCTGCAAAATTTTGTATTTTGCAGCTTTGCGGAGATGATAGCTGAATTCTATTTAGCAAGCTTTCTGCTGAGTGCCATGGCCTCAGTGCAACACTGCTTTCAGGACAACAGTTATTTAGTTAAAAGGTTTGGACTCTTACCCAGGTAAATGGATCTTCGTGAGGCTGCCTGCATGCGGGTAAGCCAGTGCGCAGTAATGCAGAGGTTTTTACCTGTAAGTGCACTTCCAACTCCGCTATTTCAAGTACTCCTCCTCCCCATATGAACTCTTCAGTATTGAGACTTCTATTTTCACTCCCTCTTTGTTACTTTATTTTTCTTTCTAGTATGTAGTAACTTAGTATGTAGTAACTTAATTTCGACTCTTCTGAAGTTTCTTTTTCTTCAGATTCTCCTACTTGTTCACATACATAATTCCCCCAAAGATTTCTGTGCATTACAATGTCACTTTGGCATCTTTTTAGTCAAGTAGGACCTTCCTCTGAAGCATGTAAACACAGACTGTTCAGAGGTCAATGCAAAATGAATAGGAAATAATTATAGTGTCAGTATGCTTTATATATATATATGTGTGTGTATGGTTGGCAGACAGACAGACCTGACCTCTGCAAAGACTACAGGCACTGTGCTGGGAAGCAGAGGGAGGAGAAGAAAGAGGGCAGAAGCAGGCAGGGAAAGGTTTCAAATTCACTGCAATAAGGACCTTGAAGAAGAGTAGGAAGAGGTTTTCTGCAATAGTTCAACAAGCTACAGCCCTGGTTTGCACTGCTTGGGAAACAGTAGACCAGGTATGTGGAGAATCAAGTATTTAGACAGTGACTAGGAGATGAAAGGACTAGACAAAATCCTAAAGAGGTAATACTGTTCATGACAGAAAAGGAACCAGAAAGTGCTTGTGAGTTTAAGGAAAAAGGCCGTCTCCCAAAGCCAAGCAAGCCAAGCAAGAAGGTTTTCTCCCAAAAAGCTTGCTTTCTGGTAGACAGTTGTTGTCCCCAGCTCCTCTTAGTAGCTTCTCCTTGCCTGTATGGAAAGGAGAGCTGCTAATCTGAACCTACAGCAGACACACTTAGATCAACAGATTAATTAACAGGGAGCTGGAAATGCCTGTATATGTAAAAAAAAAAAAAAAGAAAAAGAAAAAGAAATGTAAATACAAGAAGGAGATAACTGGAAACCAAAGCACAGAACTCAGAGAGACAGAAACTCAGTTTTGGGGCTCACGGTTGCTCTGCTACTTCTCTCACGCGTAAGCTTAAGCTGCTCTCCTTACCAGCATACTCATTTGTGAAAATCATAGAATACAGTCCCAGAGCCCATGACTGAAGAGCTGCAGTCACACACCATTTTAACCAAGACACCATCCACAAATACACTATTTTGAGGAGCCCTGTTGCATTTACTCAGAATTTCTTTCACAGAGCAAGGGCTAATATTCTTTCCCTCAGGTCACTTCCTACAGTAAACTCTCCAGCAATGCTTAGGCAAGAGGGCTCAGAAAAGGCAGCTTACAGAGGGGATGGCACCTGCCACCGCGTCCCATTTTGAGCCCCAAGAGCCTCTTCCTTAGGGCAATACTACACATCAACTCTACTAGCCAAGACAGCATCTGCTCTGAAGCCTATACACAATGTGGAGAGTGCCAGCTACCCCAGTAACTTGGTCTTCTACCTTAAAACACATCTAGCACACTTCCCAAACCCGTGTTTCTGCATTGCTTTTTATCCCTTGCTGGAAGGGTGACACTGGACAATTCAGAACCTTAGCAAAATCTACAAGTCCTGGAGTGCTTAAACTCCACATGTGAAGAGGCAAAGATACAGCTGGGTGTGGGGGGGAACACTTACTTGAGTATTACTTGTGTAGTGCTACCATTAAATGCTCCTCTTTAAGCCTAACCCCTTTCCTAAGGTATACACAGCAAGCCTGCTTGCTTACGCGTAGTTTAACTGAACACCTGAAATAGGCACAACACACTTACCCTTCCTTGCCCAACTAGAGAGCCTATCAGTCAGCTTACAAGTATATAATATCTGAAACTTAACAGTTGCATTGAGCATCTTCTAATTTCCTGTGGTAATTAACTCAAGTTGATAACTACCAACTACATCATTATTGGAATAACACTTAGGTCAGAAGTTCCACATTATAGAACATTTCAAAAATAATTACAAGTTCAAATGAAGTTATACTTCAATGTAGGGGTAATATAAACAAATTAGCACAGAGCAGCTATGTCTATTGGGTAGTATACAGCTTGCAGCTGTGATCTCTCCCAAAACACTTGTTTTTGCAATGGTGGCATTATCAGCACCCATCCTCTCCTACTCCTCCTGTAATGTTTTGATTAAAACTTCAGATTTTGTCAGTACAAGACCAAGACCTTAAAGCTCATGTAATTGCAGTGAGTTGTATTTGTACTGGAAACACCAGGAAAAGTTTAATATATTAATTTATTTCATCATTTCATTTGAAGTTCAATTGAACATCATTCAGACAACTTTTTGCTTTGTGAAGATATATGGCATTTTTGAAACACAGTATTTTGCATAAAATACACTTGAAAAAGTTTTATTAGGCCCTCAACCACATGATCGCATAACTTGTCAGTGAAGGGGATTTCAAAATAATAAATTAAAATTCAGTTTTCAAAGAAATCATGTTTTAAATGCTACCATGCTGTTGGGGAGCTAGAGACCTCACTTAGTACAATAGGTATTTGAATATCAAATTTATTCAGGAATTCACATTTGATATTAAATAGGCATAAAATATTTAAGTCTTGTCTCTAGACAAGACGCATTACCTGATATTTGAAGGCGTATGTAATATATACACAGGTTCCAATACAAATGTTGGAAGAATTTTCATAAAAAATATATTAGTGTGATATAGTAGACAACTTCAATTAATGCATCCTCATAATCAGATATGTTTCTTAAATCCCATTCTCAGTTTCCCTAGGAAATACTGTTGTCCATCACAAGAGTGTATTTTTAAAAAAGTTGATTGAGAACAATTGAACTACATGATGTCAGCTTTAGACATATTTCTTGATTTCATCGTAAAGTACTAATACAAAAGCTCCGCCCATGCCTCTCAACACATTCGACCAGGCACCTTTGAAGAACGCCTTGGATCCTTCATCTTTAGCTATCTTCTTCCAGCAATCAATTGTGCCCTTGTACATAATATCAGCTGTAGAAACAGACAGACAGGTTAGAAGGTTAGGAGCTACACAGCAAGTTTGTTTTAACTTTGCTCTCCACTCTAAGGATATCAAAAAACATTAATTTAAAAAATGAAGGATCAATTCATTGAGTCATTTTAATTCTCTAAATGACAATCAAAACAAATTAACTCAAACACCTATGTAAACAGGCAAGAACTAACATGTCTTCCATCAATGTTTAAGTATTCCTAAGAAAAGGCCATTGGCTTTCCATAACAAAAAATACACTGCATACACCACATCCTGCTTAAGAAATTCCTTCTAGTGGTGGGACACTACGGAAACAGATTCACTCTTACCTCCCTTTCGGCCAGACTGCATCATCATCCTACGCCGCACAGTATCAAAAGGGTAGGATACCAGCCCTGCCACCGCAGTGACAGTCTGGGCAATCATCCAGCTCACGATAATATGCACATTCTTGGGATCAGGCAGCATACCTGTCATCAAAAACAAATGACAAGAGTCAGGATAGAGAAAAAGGAGAAAGATCACCTACCCCAGACACCACTCAACCAAGGCAACAGGACTATGCCAGCAACTTCTCTCCACATCCATATCTGACTATTGTCAAGTGCCAGGAGTAAAGCAAATTGATAGTGTTTTGGGGTTTTGTGATCAAGAGTCCCCTTCATGCTCCTTGACTAAAAGGCCAAGTCTGTACATAACAACCTTTAAGAATGGGGTGGAGGGCATAAACTGGCAAGGGCCTGAAAACACTCTGCAAACAGAGCTGTTCCCCAGAGGAGCAAGCTGACAGAGGCAGGGATGTATTTCAGAAACATCGGAGCAGACTCCAGCACTGGCACCCTGAGCTGGTGCTGCGCCAAGCCCTGCCTATTCCTGCAGGGCAGGGTGCCCTCGAGAGTCTTTGCTGGTTGGAACCCTTTCTTGCCGTCACTTCTCCATCAGCCTCTTACCCTTGGCAGTGTCATAAACACCAAAATAGGCTGCTCGGTAGATGATGATGCCCTGGACAGACACATTGAATCCTTGGTAGAGGCCCCTCAGCCCATCAGACTTGAAGATCTTGACGATGCAGTCGCCCAGCCCAGTGAACTCCCTCTCGCTCACTCCTTTGCCCACATCAGCCGCCAGCCGGGTCCTGGCGAAATCCAGCGGGTAGACAAAGCAGAGGGAGGTGGCTCCCGCAGCACCCCCGGACGCCAGGTTCCCTGCGAAGTAGCGCCAGAACTGCTTGTGCCTGTCCACTCCCCCCAGGAAGATCTGCTTGTACTTGTCCTTGAAGGCAAAGTTGAGGGCCTGGGTGGGGAAGTACCGGATGACATTGGCCAAGTTGCCCCTCCAGAAGGAGATGATGCCCTGCTCCTTGGGGATGCGCACGATGCAGTCGATGATGCCCTTGTACTGCTTCTCGGCGGTGATCTGCTTGCTGGCTTGTGCCTGTCCACTCCCCCCAGGAAGATCTGCTTGTACTTGTCCTTGAAGGCAAAGTTGAGGGCCTGGGTGGGGAAGTACCGGATGACATTGGCCAAGTTGCCCCTCCAGAAGGAGATGATGCCCTGCTCCTTGGGGATGCGCACGATGCAGTCGATGATGCCCTTGTACTGCTTCTCGGCGGTGATCTGCTTGCTGGCATGCTGGACCTGCGGGCAGGGCAGAGGGGGCGCA